TTGGTGGTTTTTTTAGAACTCTGCTAAGTGGTTTTTTTATAGTTGAAGGGATGAGTTGCATTGCATTGAGTCTTTTATGTTCCCTTAGCATGGCAGTAAATGAGGGCGTCCTGTGGACCAGTCTGAAGAATATGTAAAAAATGCTCAGTCCCTGCTTGCTGCTGTTTTTTGGCAGCAGCTAGAAGGAGCCTGGGGAAGAAATGCTCCTTTTGTCTGGAGCAAGGTACTATGTGTCAGTGGTAGCAATAATCTCTGCAAACAAGGTGTCAAAATGCTACATTCTGGCTCTGTATAAGGGTGTAAGTTGATGAAATATTAGGTCGAGGGAGTCTAAATTCCTTGGTGTGGAAATAAATCTAGAATAACCTTAGCTGAATCCATACAGCAGTCAGACTTGGAGTTAAACTTTGTTGCACAAGGTGATTATAATAATTAAAAAAAAATTACTTGATAACAGTGCCCAAAATCTGAAAATATTAGGAAAAAGTTTGTTCCAAATTATGTGTCTATTCCACAACACTGGAGCAAGGTTTGTATTTTTCCAGAATGTTTAAAAAGTTCTATTGGAAATAGGCCCCAGGTGAATTACATACACATGGATAAGTGCAAGTATTTTTGAGAGCAAGTTGGTTACAATTATTTAGTGTTATGAGATCTGGCTATATAGGCTTCGGTGTGAGGATGTGAATTGGTGTTGCCTATGCTGCAAGCTGAGCAAAACCCATGTAAATGCAGTCTGTCTATCAACCCAGACTTTTAGAAGTCAAAAGTGCAATTCAGCAGCTTATTTCCCCCCCAGTAACTCATGAAAAATAATGTCTTACGTATTTTTGATCTTCAGAAATGTTATTGTCCACCTTAAACGTAGCAACAGCTTTACCCTGTCGGACAAAAGACCTGAGCACTTTGCTCTGACAGTGACCTGTTGGACTTGGCTAGGGAGTAGGGTAGGACAGATGTATTAGACTCTCACTACCTTCAGTGACTGTATTAATAAAGACAAGAAGGCTTCACCTAGTAAGACTAGTGTATCTTTTCAAAGCTACAAGACTGACATCGCACTAGATGCTGATCATTGTTAGGAAGGCAACATTGTGCACAATAGCATGACAGTCTTAAACTTCAGCAATAATTCTCCATTTCCAAGAACTGATGGAGTGAAGCAAGCGGTGCAGCCAGAAATGAGTGCTTGCTCCTTTATGCCACAGCATGTGAAGATTCCTCCAGTTTCTTCTATCCAGCCTTACCTTCGAGAACTTTCATAGCTGGTCTCAAAATGACAGCTTTCCTTCTAAGCCCTTTATCATACTGTGGTTGACACCTGCAATAATTTACCCATGGCCACAAAGTTGTGTTTTGTTTTGTTTTTTTAAAAGTCGATTAATGTTTACATTGTTACCTTTTATGAGCATTAGTCTTTCTTACAGTAACTCAAACCCAGAATGCACATGACTAGTGTCCTTGGCTGAGATGTTTTTTCTTCAGTTAAGCCAGTGTCTCTTAGCTCTGATAGGCTAAAGAGTTTCTTTTTCCAGTGTTCACAATCCTTCTTCTTACAGCTAAATCTTGTTTTTCTGCGTAACTCATCTCTGCTCCTACCAGGCTCATCCATGCCTCTCTCCTTTTGCTACCCTGTAAAGCTGGGTTTGGCCATGAAGGTTTCGTTTCACTTGGCAGTTCTCCCATATTCGCTAGGCCTGTTCTGGCTTCGCATACCTGTGTTGTCATGCCACAGCTAGGTGTTCTCGCTGGAGCTGTATGCCTCTGTGTATGTGTCTAGAATTAACATTTTAGCATATATCCTATATCCTGTGCTACACTAAGATGAGTCACTCCATTTCTCTCCCTTTGAGCATACAGGAGGAATTTTACAAGGCAGTGCAAGACTGCAGCACTTCCATTTAACTTCAGTTACAGGGGACTCGGTATGAAGTAGCAATACCCAGCCTGGGCAGAAGCCATCTGCTGACTAACCCAAATCCCTAGCTGAACAACGGAAGCGCATGGCGGTTAAGAATGTTAGCTACAGTATCTGAGGAAAGGTACACGCTGACTACAATGCAGGCATACTCTTCGAGGTAACTAATAGAAGTCAAAGAATCATCTCATGAGTGCTGTCCTGAAAAAAATTTCTCATCTGTCCTTTCATATAGACTTCTTGTACGTAACTATATCAATTCAATTGATATATTGAATTTAAAAAACCCCAAAATTTCAGGTCAGACTGTTGAGAGTTACAAACATTCATGTATGACTTACATTACCTGACTTGTTCATAATGGACACTTCTCATTCAGGCAGGAGTAAAGACCACAAAAAAAAAAAAAAGTATCTTTTTAGGGGCCAGGATTCTTTTGAGCCTATTTAAATAATAATCCTAATTCAGTTAGGATTCATCTCCTTTTTAAGCGTATTGTATTTAGGCTTTTTACAAGACAGAGAATCATGGACACGTTACTTTAAGCACTTGTTTCCCATTGTTCTCTGGCATTTAGTGAGCCTAACTCTTTTCACTGAGGTCAATGCTACTTTCACAGTTGTCCTTCGTGGGAGTTATTTACACAAAAGGACACATACAAGTCTGCTGTTGAGTCTCACTGTGCACCTTCTTGATCTGTTCTAATCCGAATCATATCTAACTCCCTGCTTTTGAAGTTTAATTCCTCTTTTTCATTCACCATATTTGCAATTATTAGAAATGTAGAAACAAAGTAGTGAATTTCCCAGGGCATGATTACTATTTAACTGCCAAATTAGCATCACCTTCTCCTAAGGATATCCACTTTTTCAAAAAGTTAACAATTTTTATCTTTCTCAGTGGAGTATCTATCAGAATACAAATTTGTGAATACAACAAATTTTAAAAGCATTCAGCTTAAATTTATGCTCCCGACATCTTGAAACAGGCCCAAAAGCCAGACTGCACTATGAAAGTGAACGATGAAATGAAATTGTGCCCTATTTCTTCTCTACTTCCACACATTCAGCCTGAAACTACACTTAAAGGGAAATTAACCAACAAATGTACTGTACAGATAATTTTAATCAGTATAGCACCAAGACATAATGTGTAAAAATACATAAATGAGACCAATAAAAACAAAACAAAACTAACATAATGAACTCTCTATATAAGTATATTCTACAGCATGAAAGATCCAAATTGGGGGTGCTGTCCCAAATCTTGCTGGTTTTGATCTTGATGAAACTGCCTCAGATGAGAAGCAAAAATCATTCCATCATACAGCTGTTTTCTTGAAATGACCACCTCCTCCTTTTTTTGAGAGTTACTAGCAGATTCAAAGAAGCCAATAATAACAGACTAGACCCTTTCAGTCTATTATTTTGTTATCTGAAGCTAATTTAAATCTTCCTGGGACAATGAAATGTCAAGTAAGTATATTTGGCTCAGAGAGCTTACCACCTTCGGCAGGTTATAGGCACACCAGATGACCAACACTCATCTGCATTAGTCTGCGTACCAAAGCATGCACACGACTCTGAAGGTAGGTAGAACAATGATGAAAGATCAGCGGTGAAATTATTGGTACAACAAACAAACTCAAAGTCAAGTAAATGGAAACTATTCCTGTCTTAAAAGAAAGGCACCATCTGCACAATACCAGCCCTCAGCAACACACCTCTCGCTGCAGCCAGCGGGAAGTTAAGACCTAACTCACTGCTTTTACTGTGCTGTTTACCCCTTCACTTCTTTTCCCTTTCACAGTCAGAGGGCTGAAGTAGCCCAACCAATTAAGGAAAAGTGAATTTGCCTTATAATCGAAGCTTGGAGCAGTTCTGCTTACCTTTTCTCATTTCACTGATGCAATCAGGATATTTAGAAACACTGAAGACCAAAGAAAAGTGCAATGATGGGGAACAATAATTATGATTATAGACAGTATAAAGTTAACAGACTCTACAGCATGAGGAAAGTATGATTTAGTTACTTAAAATAATCAAAGATTTTTATTGTAAATAAATCCAAGCAGAATGTAGTCAAAATGGAGACTATAATTTCTATGAAAGTAAGATCATCTTAATTTTCTTGGGGAGAGCAAGGGGAGGAGTAGAGGAGCAACGGGAAGAAAACAGAATAGAGTTCTGAAATATCTCGGATTGCCCATATCAAAACTAAAAATACTAGTCTAAGGAATAACGGGAGGAAAGTGCATAATTTCACACTTTGGTCTGCCAGCCTGACAAATTCAGAATATATGCACTGAAGAAAGCTGGGAAAATGGCCCAAATGTTTTGATATATTTAACCTGCTTAAAAACATGCAATTAGACTTCATATTCATGGTATTTGTTTCCGAATATCACACACAGGGGAAAAAAAAAAAAAAACAGGGAACAGCTTTCCATGGATGAGACTTCCATATTTATTGTTATTCCATGTGCATAGAAAATGGCAGTGAAGTTTCTTATGAAATAGGCAGGGAATGGGAGAGGTGTAAATATACTGGACTGGACTTTGTGCTTCAAAATTACACTATTCATTTTTAAAATTTTTTTTTCCTTTTAAAATTTGTAACATCTTCTTGGATTTTTTTTTTGTGCATGATGTTTCAAATTCCTTTTAAAATGACACACTGCATTACAAATGGATGGCACTTTAAACCAATGTGGCATTTCCATATTTACACCAACGAAAGAAATTTACAAGACGTAATAGCATACAATCTTGACATTTAGTAATAGCAATAAAACAAGGGCATCCATTTTATTTTTTCTGTACAAACTATCAGAACAAGACTTTTATTCACATTAAAAAAAAAACACAATCAGCTTTAATTTGCTCTGACCTACACACTTTCCAAATTCATTTTACTCAATTCTCAAACCTTTCATCACATCGCCCACACCCTCACCAGACTACAGGAGCTACAAGTAATTATACCTAACATCTAAACAGAGCAAAAAAACATCCCTTCCAGTTTTTCTTCCTGACAATTCCTCACTCAAAAAACAAAAAAAAATTTAAAAAAAAAAAAAATCTTCCTTGTTCCTTCTTTTATTTCACTTTCACATTTCATAACCAAAACAACAAATGAGGCCATTCCATTTCTTCTCAAGCAAGATGAGAAATACACTGCTGTTTTTTCTCTTCGATGCTACACCCAGGAGTCAGGTGAACCTGGGTACTGTTCTGCTCTATAAGACGATCGTCTGGTGGAGTAAAAGTCTACATAATTTGTGGTTGATTTCAGTCCATATTGTGTTGTGTAATCCGAAGTAGCAGGAAAGTGAACTCGATCATCAAAATACGGGTCTTCATAGCTATGTGGGGACTGCAAGTATAACCTGTATGCATCATAGTTTTTTCTGTTGGTATCTTCTTGACTGTAGTACAATTGCTGATGCTGTTGACAAAATGATAGAAAAATAAGCTTTCAAAATATAATTAGCAGAAAAAATAATTGTTTCTCAAACTTACACACATTATATAGAACCTTTCTTTAAAATGTTAAGTGCAGCTCTACCAATGATGATAGTAACACGCATCTCAAACCTCCATGAAACGTACGTAATTTTTAAATGAAACTAAATGGAGGAAAAACCTCTAAGCCTGCCTGCATGTCTCCTCCTGCATTCACTGGGAAGCTAGTAACTCTCCAAAAGTAGTACTTTTAGAGCATAAGTAGAAAGTACAGAACCTGACCATACCTACAAAAAAACCCCGCCTCAAGTCACGTCAGAAAAGTGGTCTCAGATCCCACCATAAGAACGTGCTAAAATATGTGACTATAAAAAGAAAACACAAAGGTAATAGAAGTACATAAGCAATCGTCAGTTAAGTACACTAATGCCCAATAGCAAATTAACTATGGTATAGATACACTCCATAAAAAAGCACTCTAATATTATGAAGTATACTCAATCTCTCTTAAGTTCCGTTAAACACTGTATGTTTATGTGTTTATATGTCTTGTTATCAGTGTCATTTCAAAATAAAATTTTGGAGTCACCTGTAGTCGTCTATTTTGTTCTCTTGCTGGTGAGGAATAGGAACTGATGTAAATTGGTGAAGGTTTGCTGGAACCTGTGAGAAAAGAGTTTATGGCATAAACTTCAGTTTTTATTCCTTCATCTATAAGTCTATTTGCTTCTGTTTTACCTAGAAGAAATTATGTAGTACCCAAACAATTAAGTCTGCAGATTTTAGTATCTACTAATAATATAATATAGTAACATAATACAGGCAAATTTTGTCCCTCAGCAGTAGTTAAATTGAAACCAAGAGGCTTTTTTGAGTTGCTGTTGTTTGTTTTACAGACTAAAAACCTTTAAAACAAGGAATTTCTTTCTCTTTATTCATTGTCATCTCTATTATTTTGCGACTTGTGTCAAATAGTAAGAAGGAAAAGGGAGATCAGGGAAATGATGAAATCTTGGTATAATTTAATAATATAATAATATATAACGGCATGTTATTATTTATAACATAACATAATATAATAACAATAAAGTGCATAATAAAACAATTTTCTGTAATAGGATTTTAAATAAAAATAAAAATTCCAAATACCTCTCACCTCGCAATATATAAACAGATCTTCTCTTATTCTGGTAATGTGTGCAATTTTAAAGAAAATAGCAGAGACAGATGAAAAACCTGCTCTGTTCCATATGCAATGAATATAATGAATAAAAATGGAAAACAACATTAAGTAGTAACAAGCCTGCTAATGCAACTGTCCATATTATGATTGTATAAACTCCTCATATGAGGAGTATTTATGTATTCCAGTTAAAAGTTCACCTAACTGATATCTTACCAGTATATATATCTTTATGTGTAATGACATCGCCTTGGTTATTATAATACTGCATAGAAGGTTGCGTTCTATCGTATTCAGAGCGGGGTTCTCTAATTCCTAATAAAGCCGGTGATGAGGACGTGCTGCCAACTGATGAAAAAAGAAAGATGATCGGTATATAAAACAAAAGCCTTTCCCGTACCTAACCTTCTCTTTATTCTCTCCTCATCCCTTCCTTCCTCTGGGATTAACAAATGAGAGTAATGGACAAAACTAGTACATAGTTTTTCCTGGATGAAGAATCCCAATGACAAAAGCTATCAACAACGTACCACGAGATTGTAATTTTATACTTTTAATGGTGAGTCACTGCTCTATAATGCTTACAACTGAAATAAGAGACCTTACCCATTTCAGTTTGCATATGACATAATTAATTTCCCTTTAGAAGATGATACTCCTGCTAGTGTTTATGATTTTATGTAAGTTATGCTTAAATAGAATCTTTAAGTCCATCCTATCACTTGGGACAGGACAGAAAAATTTACAGTCTGCCTGGCTGAAGTGATCCATGTACACAACTTGGATTACTGTTCTTTGATTAGCATGCAGAAGTGTATCTTGGACATTTTGTGCTCCAGTTGCCTGACAACCGTTGTAAGATCATAACAATGGATCGATTACTTACTTTTATTCGTACAGTCAACAGCTCTCTGTTCTCTAATCTCTACCGTAGTTGGAAGAAGTTTGTTCTGCTAAATCCTCCCTGTTTTACAGACCACTCGGCTTTTGTTGGCTTAGAAAGACTCCAGTAACACAGGAGACAAATACTTAAAAATAATTTATAGAAATTTTGCTTCAAAATATTAATCAATGATATCTTCTCATTAGCTGTGTCCATTACATCATATTTCACAATTTTGTGTTATTATGGATAGTTTAATTACTGATATTATCCTGGCATATTCATGCCTAAAAAAGCTGAATTTGGGGGTGTCGTTAAAATTTTGACGTGGGTCAGCATAATGTGTGTGTTGTTAATTGAGTGACTGAAACAAGAACAACTGTTACAGGCCAAGTGTAACTGTTCTACCATGCATCTACTCTGCATGCTGTAATCAGCAAAGCTGCTACCACAGTACCCTCTGTGGACATGTTCTTTGCACCAAACTTACTAGTTTAAGCTTGTTCACGCTCTGGAAGAGAAAAATCCTATTAGGATTTTTTGCTAAGCGTTCTTTGCAGTACAACAGCCTCTGAATATTGTGTTAGAGCTGCCCATCTTACTTCCTACTTGTAGTTCAAAGAACTGGAGTAACACATTCTGCTAACGAATCTTGGGAGAGAAAGTGCCGAGATAAGAATTTGACAGTCGATACTGGAATATTCTTTTACACTTTGGTAGAATCTGGTCAGTTCCCTGAGCCTAAGCCATATTTGCCTCCTTGTCATTGCTTATTTTGAGAAGATATTTTTGGCTCTGGCAGTAGATACATAGCTGAAACAGTCTGTGAATTCAAGGTGGTGTTTTGATGCCAGTATGTGCAACTTGGCAACTAGGTGTAAAAGTGAAAACTGCCTTCAGTATCATGTGGTTTGAGAGTGACAAAGATACTTGGTCAGGACATTCTTTCGGAATCCCGAAGGGCTGGGAGAAAACCGCACGTGGAATGCAGTAAGATCGGAATAACAAAATCCTCTAGAATTGGTAACTGCAGTCTGCTGTTGTATAGCACTAGACAAAGGAATCAGTCCTGTATGTTGTACTGTGGTGGTTGACAAGAACTCTGGCGTGAAAAATACGCTTTCTTTCCCTTCTCAGGGAAAATAAATCCCTGGTTGAGTCCGTGTTTTTCAAGTCAACCATGTCATGAAGGAATGTGTGAGGATTGTTACTTTTATGTAAAGAAGTTATTAAAGAAGAGTATTGTAGGAACTGGTCACTTATTTTAGCAGTCATGTTAGATAGATATTTCTCGGTATTAACAGAGATCTAGTCACATAAAAATAGAAGAGTAAATTGGATAAAATAAAATGTCAAATGAAGACAATATACAGGGCTTCAAGTAGGTTTTTGTATCAGCCCCCTCATGAAGATCTAAATCCTAGCACTGAAGTCGTGAAAGCAACGAAGGCAAGAAATAAATGAGGAGGAGTTAGAAAAGTAAGACTTTTGTATTTGTCTTGCTCATCCTAATGGGACATTACATAATTGGGAATGAAAATAGGTTCCTCGCTATTGGTCTGTTGCTTTCTACGCTATCAAGTACCCACATTCTGTGAGACTACATCTACAATGCCATACATTGTAGCACAGGAGGAATGGCTTTGTAGAGGGAAATAATTGGTTACAAAGTCCAGGTGTGTACTCTGAGGATTTTACTTAGCACCAAGTCTAACCTGGTCCCATGAACTAAATGTCCATTAGCAGTTGGAGTATATTAGTGGTCTGGAAGCACATCACCTGATTTCGTTTCATCCAAAAGGAATACAATTCACACATTCTGAGACTGCAGTTTGATTTGCATTAAGGAGTAAGTGGGGAGATTTGCTTCAAAGTGCTCCTTATCCAAACTAAAACACTAATGTAGAGACATCCACAAATCCTGTGGAATCTGAAGTCTGCCAACAGTAACAGCTAAGGTAACGTTCTGAGTACATGAAGTACTTATGTTTAAATACAGAGGAAAGACAGCATGACCTCCGTGTTTTAGATAGAATTAGTAGTAAACTGAGAGGCTATTTGAGTTAAAAAAATGGGATACCAGGTACCCCTTCAGTAAATTTCTTTACATTTCTTGACTGACCTGACTGTATGACAGGTGACATCTGTTGATTTGTTGTTGATAAAGAAGGATGTGATTTGAATCTCTCTCGCTCTAGTGTTGATACTGGTGTAATAAAATGACTTTGATTCCATCCATCCTGTGGAGTGGCAAAAAGAAAAAAAACACCAAAATAAATTGCTTTTCATTAAATTAGGAGTTTTTGTAGAACTATTTTCCAGTGTAAGCTAATTTTGTAATTTACCTTTTTATAAATGCTACGGAGATCTCGGTATTGCCATAATGTATTCAGTACCTGGGCGGCTGCCTTGACAACTTTCAGTGACGATCTAAGGAAGTAAAGAATATTACCTTATTAGAAAGCCACTTAATTCCACTTAAAAAGAACAACGTTCCTGAGCTACATAATAGCCTAAACCTTGATGCCGTGAAGCAAGTCAGGTCATCCCTCCAGGTGTCAGTAACGCATGCCTGCATTACCACAGTGTGAACACAGCTGTGTCAGCAGCCTCACCAAAAGGCTGGTGCAGAGCCCGATTAAGCATGACAATCGTTTCCCTCTCCAGAAAAGAAAATTTCTAGGCAGGTCACTGAGGAATACAGATAGAAGGGTTGAAATAGCTACTGTCATTGCAAGAATTAAAAATCATGAAAAGAAATATTCTATTTAGTGCATTTCATAAAAACTGAGACTACATACTTCAAATCATTGTACAAAATTCCTAACTATAGAAAAAGAATAAACAATTAAAAGAGAGCTGGTATTAAAAGTCTCCAGACACCCTCATAGTGAGACTTTGTTCTTGGTTTTGTGTTACACTACTGCAAACTTCTATTGGTTTGAAAAACACTTTTCCACTCTCAAGAGCAAGGCTAGGAAAATTGCTCTAGCTATTATTAAAAATAAAATTATGCCATCTTTTTAAAGACAAATGCTAGTAAGCTGGCAGTGGTACTGAAGTAGTGATTTGACATTAAATGCCACAGCGTGACATCTGTGTTAAATATATGCCTTTTTCTGTCACTCATCCAAATACAGTTTTTGAAAGAAAAGACTGAAAAAAATTGCAGTTGATAGTGTTAATCAACGAGTAGACACTCCTAATACGTTCACAAGATTTTAAATTTTGTTATTGTACCCTGTTGCCTCATAAATATAAGTGCAGATGCAACTTTACGCGTTGTCTCCACAGACCAATGAAGTCATATAAAGGATCACTGCATTCACACCTGCAGTTGAAATGAGTCTGTGTCCCTTGAACATATTATTATAAATTGTGGATACTCAAAATATAGCCCAGTTCTTTTTGAGGCAAAGACTTTGTTAAAAATGTGGTATGTTTAATTCACACTGACCAACTTCTCTGAGAAGAGATCCTCTTCTCTCTACCATCTGATCAAACACTGGGAACAGTACCCAGGGCTGACTATATAATCAGCTTTCTGCTATCCATAGAAAGGAGGTCTGTGATATCCTGGTTTATGCGAGAGTTCTGCTAATACGATTCGCATCAGTCACAGTGCTAAGGAGTACAGGGCAGCGATGCTGATCAAAGCCCAGTGAGGTCCGTGAGGCTGACTTAGTGCTGACCCTGCACGACTCAGGAGCCACTGCATGTTCCGGTCCCTTGATGCTCAGCTGTCCAGTTCTAAAAGGTTTTTTTACTACTAAATAAACAATGCCTGACCAAGCCCAGCGCTGAACTCAGCTAACAAAACCCCTAGCACAGGGGTTGGCACAGCCATACCCGAGTAAGTCTGCAGAGCGCCAGGTCTTCTCAATCAACAATAGGATTGCTTTCCAATCCTGTTTGAGAAATCCCACTGGCTAGGTAAACTGCAGGTTTTCCTTACAACCTACCAAATGGCCATGCTTGATATAATTAATAGCTATTGCGATACATCCTGACAAAGGTGCTAACATATTCTGACTTTGAAAAGCTCTAAATATTCTATTAATCTTGTAGGTGTTTAAGAGGGGACAATTTTTTTTTTAATACCATTTAACCTGAATACACCCCGTTAGTGTGATTACTGCATGCAGCTGTAAAAGCCTCCAGAAGCTTTAGATAGAGAATACACTGCCAGGGAATGGTGGTACCGACTGCCTCTTCTTTCCCAGTGTGATTCAGACTTTGTTAGCTACTTAGATCAGGACTGCAAAAGCAGATCCTTTTTTCTACTCAAAAACCCATTTCCCTGCATTCTTAAGCATTTTAAAAGGAATAAAGAAACAGTTTCGGTATGAACTTCGTTGCCTACTTGCCTGTCACCTCTTCCTTTTGTTATGTTCACCAACTTTTCTATTCCTCCAGTATCAGCGAGGGCTTTGGCATTTTCCATGTTTTTACTAGTGACCTCATGCAAAGCACAGCAGATTGCTGCTACAGTCTCATCAGACAATATGCTTGGACCATTGCCTCCTGGAAGTCGATTAACCAGATCTCGCATAGCATATTTACCTATAAAAACCCATCAACAGAACCAAGTAAAAAAAATACATTTTGGTACTTAAGATTTGAAATTATAGGACTCATCACAAAACTGCATCTGAAAGCAATAAAAAGAAACACAAGATCAAAACCATGGAAACCTTCCAAGAATTCACATTTTACACAGAGTTAAGAGAGACTAGAGATGAATTTTTGATTTTTTTTCCTTTTAGCTTAAAAATGTGAGAAGTTGCATTTTTGCATTAGAACAGGAGCATTTGTGAACAGGAATTATTTGGAGAAAGCAGAATCATTCAAGGAAAAACGTTACACTATTTATTATGATTGAAGGAGTGGTGCACATTCCTAGGCTTCATTTATTGGAGGGTTAAAGAAATCCTTACAGTAACTTGGAATTTTTTTCCTTTCAGACATTCTGTTCACCTTATTTGTTACCCATAAGAGATCAGATCTCAGCTCTGATTTCTGATTTCAGATTTCAGTTACTGACTGAGGCACAGGAATAATCACACTGCAGACAAAAGAAATTAACTAAAGCTAAGGTGATTTTTTTTTCCTGTTTAGGTTGTGCTGTTAATTGAATGAGTAATTGATTTTATTGAAGACATGTATTTGTACATAACAATGAATAATGAATAAGCTTTACACAAAGTCATTAGCTATCTATTTGCATAATGTGCCTGAGGGGAAAAAAATATCCAAACAGGAATTCTGCAAACAAAAGGAACTTCTCAAACACGTTGGAAAACTATAACCGACAATGCTGTACACAGTAGTACCCTGTCACTACCAATCTTTTAGCAAGCTCATCAACACATGTTTGCATGTACCAATTTGTATTGTTATTTGTTGGATTCCCCAATCTTTTATTTTCTTCAGAGTTTAGACCATGTAAACCCATTATTCCTGCCCCTACCAACAGCAGTAAAGTTCCATAAAATAGATTACTAGCATGGGGTAATTTATGACTCACTTCACGTCTCAAAATATTTTATACAAAGGTTAGTTTCAGAGTGTATCTGGAAAGCTAATAATTCTTTCATAGTTAAAGCTTTGACAGGGAGAGGGAACAGATGGAGGTTCCTGAACTGAAAAGTTCTGCCAGGAAGGGAAAAAAAAAATCCTGAAAAGAGAGTATCACCTGAGTATGACCTGTATATGGCTGGTGCTATAGAACAGAATTTTCTTTTTACTAATTCCTTACATATGTAATACCTACAGTGCAAGAAAACATGTTCTGAACATCCAAGATGGAGAAGCTTCAGGAATACATAATAAAATTCTGTTCGCCTGCATTTATCTTTTTGAGGATAATGATACTCTTATCTGTATAAATAGTTGTTATATACTTATGCCACTCGTCTACAAGACAGAAAATGCTTCTGTAACAAAAATGAAACTTTTTTAGATCATGTTTAGCACGGTTCATTTAGGCCACAGCAGTGAAGCTGAGGGTGAGGCATGTTCAACACTTGCTGTAATAGACTGAGATTCCTGACCAAGGCAGGAAAAATGTTTGGGTTTTTTTTTTAAATGCTAGATGAGAAGGGCACAGATGAATGCTTAAAGTGTTAAATATTAACATTGACAAAAGGGAAACAGTAAGTTCTTCTAGCAAGCATCCTTGTTGATTACTTAATTCAGCAAAGGCACATATATACTGCTCTATATCTGGGTTTTTGTGGAAATACTTTACTAGGAGAGGGTTTCTTCCCTCTCTCCCTATCCAGTACTATTAAATAAGGTATTTACTAATGTACTGGCAGCAGAGCTGTCCTATCCTCTTAGAATATGTAAGGGATCTTGAAACCCTCCGAGAAGATTACCGTTTAGCTCCAAGGAAGTAGAGCTGTGTTTTCCATCACATTTTGTACTGACAGTTTCCTGTCCAGTTTAGTTTAGCTGAGGTGACTTCCATGCATTGTAAAGAGATTGCCACACAAGGTGGCTAAAGGCAAACAAAAATGTCAATATTACTCAGAAAAGCTACTGCTGTCAAAAAGATTAATTTCTGTGACACAACTGACATGATATAGTAAAATCAAGTATGCTATTTCTATTGGTAGAATCTCATCCTAATATTTTTTCAATACAAGGCTGACATGCTGGTAATCGTGCTTTCTTCAGTACAGTTCTGTTCTTACCAATAAGCTCCTTATTACGAACATCTAATGCCATATTCCTTAAGGCAGTTGCCACAGATGAAACAACTCTGTCATTATCCATTCTCAGCAGCTCCACAAGGATTGGTAGTCCTTTTTCTTTTCTTACAGCAGCTCGAATGTATGCTGCGAACTATAATAAAACTCCAGTTACTCACAAATCTACTACAACATTCTGATTGAAATAATCTCTTACTAGATTGTAATTCTTAAGTATGTTAGAAAAGATGACATGTTAAATGCGTATCTTTTTTATTATTATAAAGGGTTGGCTCTGTTGTTTTTTCACTCATTCCTCTTACAAAGCAATGTTTAAAAAAGACAGCCTTAACAGACAAAGTATCTTAATAGATGACAAATTAATTGAAAAGGTTTTTTTTTTTTAGACCAATTCTATAATGGTCATAAAATGAAAAAGTCTTAGCTGTTTTTCGACAAGCAAAGGAAGCAATTAACGTTTTTTTAATCTCTCCATAACAAATACATAACATCAATAAAGCGTTCTCATGTGGTGTTTTTGTAACATATTGTATGCAAGGGCCACAAGCAAGAATGTATGGAAATAAATAATACAAATAATAAAGCAAATACAAACAATTTATTTATGCTGGTCTTATTTTGACAGTACCTTTCCACCAGAACTCACAGCTAGAAGATCCTAGAAGATTATTTTGACCTAATATGCACTGGAAGAAAGCTTTTTCTCTTTATTTAAAATAAATCGTTCCAGTTTCAAGGCCAGCTTCCATATTGCTCTTCCTGTCTACCACCTTTGTCACTGCTTTTCACTGTGGAAGTAACATTACTGCAGCACATAAGCACTAACGATACACGCTAGAGAGAAACACTCAGATGCGTACTAGAAAATTACATGTTCCTTCCAAACACATTCCAATATCTTATTAAAAAAGCCAGCTAAAATACAGCAATAGGAGGAAGAGTAGGAATTCACATACCTTCCAGTTGCCCGCAGAAAGATTCTGGAGAGACCCTGCAGAGCCCTCTAGAGTAGCTGGATTGGAGCTTTCTGCTAGAAGCGTTAGGTATGGCTTTACCACAGACGGGTGCCATAGCATTTCCACCCCTTTAGGAGACTTGGAAAATCCTGGTATAGGACCAACTCCATCCCACTGAGAAATGAACATATATTTGTAAGTCCATGAAACCTCTATATTTTCATTCAACATACGATAGTTTTTCTTCAAGCTATGTACTCCCCCCCATCATTAGCTAAACTACAGTTGATATATTTGTAATACAAGGAAAACGGCAAACCTGATCCTCCTGTGAAGTTTTTTTTTTCTTCTTCTTTTTTTTCCCCCAGCAACTTGGCTCTGAATCTTTGCTAGGTGATTCTTTTCCTAACAAGTCATCCAATTCATTGATTCCTAGCAGACGTGCCTGAGGCACCTCCAGTTCCAAGCGGTAAGAAAGGTTTCTCAAGGTACACACACAGTTTTCCACTGTCTGAAGCCAAACCAGAAAGATGTCATGTAATTAATTACTTTCTTACATAGTGGTAAAGCCAACCAAACAAATTAAGTGGAGGTGAAAAGGCATTTGGAGCACAAGCACTAAATTCTAATTCTGGGCTTGGGGCATTGCTTTGTTTCTCTGGGAAAACTGCAATCACTCTCCTGATATCCTCAAATATGAAAACATTTATAACAGTAATCTCTACTATAGTGGCTTATTGTTTTAGTATTCTGAAAATGAAAAGCACAAGAGCTTATTATTATTTTATTAAAGAATGAATACTTCAACACTGATGAAAATGAAAAGCACAGAACAAGTTACACTGTGTTATGCAACAGAATTTGATTGTGCATCAGTAAACTGGGGTTGGGAGAGAAGACCAGTTGAGCTAAGCACATCGCAGTGCTAAATAACACCATACAAACCCCAAAAGATCCTCTCAGACGTGCAGTTCAGCACTGAAATCACGTAGATGAAACGTGCACACACCTTGCTGTCATAATCTGATGTGTTCACACACGTGTGGATCACGTACAGCAGTGAATCAACCAGCCCTTCGCAAGATCTCATCTGCTTCCGGGCTTCTTCACCTGCGGAGCTTAGATTCCTAACGGGTTGAAATGATAAAGGAACACGGTGTATTCACAGATAGACATACACACAATCATTTTACTGATTGGTTTGCAGAAGTTTTTTATGCAGCTGATTGATAATTGAGAAGTTAAAAGCAAACACACCATTTAGTGCAGCAACCCACTCCCAATTCTTATAAAAGATAAATATGATTCAAAACTGCAATTTTAAGATAGCATTGACTCATTGACAAAAACGGCCATAAGTAGAACCCCTTTCCCGCAGACTTTTCCATTCCAAGCCCTCTCTGTTGTACAGGCCCAAATCTATAGTTTGTATGTGCTGTAGAATAGATTGCTGAGCTTGTCTGTGTTAGAAATACCCTTTGTTGCCTCTTTTTTAAATTGGAGCCATTCAGTGATCTGTTCTGTGGTGCAGCCTCGTTAACATTTGTAATAGTGCTACACAGACAGAAGTATAAATGTATAAATTAGGGCGT